AGGGTGAAAAAGCTTACAGGAAGGGAGTTTGCATTTTCCTGTTGTCATATGGGCATGGCATTTTCTAGGGTGGTCATAGTTGCACGTCCCGTCTGTTTTTCCAGATTTCCCATGCCTGCAGATACCAAGGGCATAGTATGTGCACAGGCTTGGTTTCCATTTGCCTTGGGTTTCTGTGACTGTATTCCCTGTTGGTGCATGTTTCCCTGTCTTATTCCTATCCTCCCTAGCACCAACAATGGAGCTCCCACCAGTTGTTTTTGGTAATATATCCTCACTATTCCTAGTGGAGTCCTCTTGTTTGCTATTTCCTGTGGTATTTCTAGTTTGCAATATTGGTTTTTTCTTATCTTTGACTACACTTGTTTCCCCACTATGGCTCCTGTCTCCCATGAGGTCATTTATATGCATTCCTTCCTGCATATAATTCCCGACTACCTGGACAAAATCTCCAGCTTCACCATTACTGTCTCCCAGGACAGCATCTCCAGCTTCACCATTACTGTCTCCCAGGACAGCACCTCCAGCTTCACCATTACTGTCTACCAGGACAGCACTATCAGCCCCACATTTACTGACTACCAGGACATCACCTCCAGCCTTACAGTTTCTGACTACATGGCCAGTATCAAGGGCAGTACCATTCAGCCCAGACTTTTTATGTTCCCATCTGTTGTAGAAAGCTTCCAGGTTGTCTATGAAAGCAGCTTTGATGTTATCCTCTTTTAATACCCTTGTGATTTTAGTCCACAGATTGATCTCATTTGGGCATACCCAAAAACACTTCCCTGTTTTAATACTGCTTGTAGCTAGTTCTTGGATATCTGCACAAGGGGCGTGACACCAATTTCCACAAAAATGACAATTTATCCATGTGGAAGCCCGTTTGTTTGATTGACCGCAGACTACACAGATGGGGTTGTAATAGAAGTAAATGCTAGGGTGTTCGGGAGAGGGGTGGGATTAAATTTTGGGGAATCAAATTCAAATTGGGAATTAACACAGTTACTTTTTGCTGATGATACTGTGCTTATGGGAGATTCTAAAAAAAATTGCAAAGGTTAGTGGATGAGTTTGGGAATGTGTGTAAAGGTAGAAAGTTGAAAGTGAACATAGAAAAGAGTAAGGTGATGAGGGTATCAAATGATTTAGATAAAGAAAAATTGGATATCAAATTGGGGAGGAGGAGTATGGAAGAAGTAAATGTTTTCAGATACGTACTTGGGAGTTGACGTGTCGGCGGATGGATTTATGAAGGATGAGGTTAATCATAGAATTGATGAGGGAAAAAAGGTGAGTGGTGCATTGAGGTATATGTGGAGTCAAAAAACGTTATATATGGACGCAAAGAAGGGAATGTATGAAAGTATAGTAGTACCAACACTCTTATATGGGTGTGAAGCTTGGGTGGTAAATGCAGCAGCGAGGAGATGGTTGGAGGCAGTGGAGATTTCCTGTCTAAGGGCAATGTGTGGTGTAAATATTATGCAGAAAATTCGGAGTGTGGAAATTATTTAAAGGTGTGGAGTTAATAAAAGTATTAGTCAGAGGGCAGAAGAGGGGTTGTTGATGTGGTTTGGTCATTTAGAGAGAATGGATCAAAGTAGAATGACATGGAAAGCATATAAATCTATAGGGGAAGGAAGGCGAGGTAGGGGTTGTCCTCGAAAGGGTTGGAGAGAGGGGTTAAAGGAGGTTTTGTGGGGCAAGGGGCTTGGACTTCCAGCAAGCGTGCGTGAGCGTGTTAGATAGGAGTGAATGGAGACGAATGGTACTTGGGACCTGACGATCTGTTGGAGTGTGAGCAGGGTAATATTTAGTGAAGGGATTCAGGGAAACCGGTTATTTTCATATAGTCGGACTTGAGTCCTGGAAATGGGAAGTACAATGCCTGCACTTTAAAGGAGGGGTTTGGGATATTGGCAGTTTGGAGGGATATGTTGTGTATCTTTATACGTATATGCTTCTAAACTGTTGTATTCTGAGCACCTCTGCAAAAACAGTGATTATGTGTGAGTGTGGTGTAAGTGTTGAATGATGATGAAAGCATTTTCTTTTTGGGGATTTTCTTTCTTTTTTGGGTCACCCTGCCTCGGTGGGAGACGGCCAAAAAGAAAGAAAAAACTTTCATCATTCACCACTTTCACCATCACTCATACATAATTAGTCTTTTCAGAGGCGCTCAGTTTTTGACAGTTTAGATGTCCCTCCAAACTGCCAATATTCCAAACCCCTCCATTAAAGTGCAGGCACTGTACTCCCCATTCCAGGACTCGAGTCTGGCTAACTGGTTTCCTTTAAGCCCTCCACAAAATATTATGCTGCTCACACTCCAACAGTTCGCCAGGTCCCAAAAACCATTCGTCCCCATTAACCCCAGTCTAAGACCCTCACACGCTGGAAGGTCAAGACTGTATAGCCCTTGTGGCTTAGCGCTTCTTTTTGATTATAATAATAATGGAAGGTCAAGCCCCTCACCCACAAAGCCTCCTTTAACCCCTCCCTCCCACCTTTTCAAGGACAACCCCTACCCCTCTCCCTACAGATTTATGCGCTCTCCAAGTCATTCTACTTTGTTCCATTTTCATCAACTCCTCTTAGCCCTCTAATACTTTTAGTAGCTCCACACCTCATAATTTCCACACTACGAATTCTCTGCGTAATATTTACACCTTGCATTGCCCTTAGACACGACATCACTGCCTCCAGCCTCCTCGCTGCAGCATTTACAACCCATGCTTCACACCTATATAAGAGTTGGTACCACTATACTCTCGTACATCCCTTTGCCTCTATAGATGACGTTTTCTGTCTCCACATATACCTCAACGCACCACTCACCTTTTTTCCTAAATCAATTCTATGGTTAACCTCGTCCTTCACAAATCCATCTGCTGACAAGTCAACGCCCAAATTCAAAACTAGGGATGCCAAGCTCATGATGACACTCTTCAGGTCACTTGTTCTATCTAGGCTGGAATATTGCTGCACACTAACAGCACCTTTCAAGGCAGGTGAAATTGCTGACCTAGAAAATGTACAGAGAACCTTCACGGCGCGCATAACGGAGATAACACTTAAGTTCCTCAGCCTGTACTCCCTAGAATGCAGACGGGAGAGACACGATATGCAGATATACACTTGGAAAATCCTAGAGGGATTAATACCAAACTTGCACACGAAAAATCACTCCCTATGAAAGTAAAAGTCTCGGCTACTATCTTTTAATATTACTAATCACTGTGTAATTAAAAACCGAGAATAATGCTTAATTATTTTGTATTTACAACTTAAATCCACTACGGTGCTATACCCCAATGGCTAAGGTATACAGACCAGCTCATTAAAATAAGAGTACACCTGTGGATTCCATCTATCCAATATGTGTGCTCCGTAGCTTGGTTAGCGCACTCGCCGCACACAGTGAGTGTCCATGGTTCGATCCCGGTATGGGTGGAAACATTGGGCGTGTTTCCTTCACCTACCAGTAAATAGGTACCTGGGTGTTAGCAGACTGTTGTGGGTCTCATCTTGGGACAAAATTAACCTAAATTGGCCAAAATGCTCTGCATAGCAACCCCTCAAGGAAGGCTCCTTGACGCTGGTGAGGGGCTCTTGATCTAGGGAATTGGATCTGTGCTCCAGTTCCCTGAATTAAGCCTGAATGCCTTCCATCCCCCCATAGGCGCTGTATAATCCTACGGGTTTAGTGCTTCCCCCTTAATTATAATAATAATAATAATCTGCATAGCAAGGGAGTTTCTGTATAGTATATCATTGCTGTCAGCTATGGTATGTAAAAGTTGTATCATGTACTTGTATAAATAAAGATTATTATTGTTATTATTATCTCACATTGGTCTTCAGATGCATGATAGAACTTGAATTGACTGAGGCCTATGTTAATATGTAAAACAACTGTAATTCGTCAAAATTTTGTGTAGTTGTTGGCTTAGCGCTTCTTTTTGATTATAATAATTGTGTAGTTGTGCGTAAATAAGCTTATAAACTTACGTGTAAACTTACCTAGAATATCAGGTGGGTTTCATACAGTCCCAGGATCGTTCATGTAGTCTTAAGGTTGTTCATGTGATCCTAGGACTATCTGTGCGATCCTAAGAGCTATTCCTAGGACCGTCCATGTGATCCCAGAGCTATTCCTAGGACCGTCCACATGGTCCCAGAGCTATTCCTAGGACCGTCCACATGGTCCCAGAGCTATTCCTAGGGCCGTCCATGTGGTCCCAGAGCTATTCCAAGGGCCGTCCATGTGGTCCCAGAGATATTCCTAGGGCCGTCCATGTGGTCCCAGAGATATTCCTAGGACCGTCCATGTGGTCCCAGAGATATTCCTAGGGCCGTCCATGTGGTCTCAGAGCTATTCCTAGGACCGTCCACATGGTCCCAGAGATATTCCTAGGACCGTCCATGTGGTCCCAGAGATATTCCTAGGGCCGTCCATGTGGTCTCAGAGCTATTCCTAGGACTGTCCACATGGTCCCAGAGATATTCCTAGCACCGTCCATGTGGTCCCAGAGATATTCCTAGGACCGTCCATGTGGTCCCAGGGCTATTCCTAGGACCGTCCACATGGTCCCAGAGATATTCCTAGGACCGTCCATGTGGTCCCAGGGCTATTCCTAGGACCGTCCACATGGTCCCAAAGCTATTCCAAGGACCATCCATATGGTCCTAGGACTTTCAGAGGTGACTCACGAAATCGTAATGACACAAATACGAACAAACCACGGTATGGGCGGGGATTGAACTCGTAGCAAGTGAGTCGTAAAACTAACAGCACCAGCGCATTTGTGGTCATAGTGGGACCCGTGCTAACCTCCCTTTGGTGTATAAATATACCTTGATGGATGAATCTTATTGTAGCCAGCTGGCCCAGTGGCTTACGCACTGACCTCTAGTTTTACGACTAACTTGACGCAAGTTCAATCCCCACCCGTTCCTAGGAGTGCCATGCGAGGCTCGGACCGTCAGAACCCATCAAACATTCATCAACAACTATGGTGGAGCAGCAGTTGCTGCTGCTGTTGTTGAGGTGGTCAGCTGATGGTGTCAACGTCTGCTGTTAGTGGTAATGGTGCGGGTGAGATGTTAGTGGTGTTAATGGTTGTCACTACCAGTCTTAAGACTCCATGGTTACCTTAATTGTGCTGGATAGTACATAAGGCTCAATATCTAGGTCTACAAACAACGTAGTCCGGCGTCAGCTGAACCATAATAGTTGCTCACCTGCTGGGAATGTCATGTCTAGTATTATTATAGGAATTTTATAAGTATAATGTGGCTTCACGCTTTATATATCATAACAATGAGAGTAAATTGTATATACAATATCAAATACTTATTGTTGATGGTTATGGCTTCTCAGCTGTGCAGGAAAGGTTCTTTGATGCCGGTTAGGGGCTCTTGATCCAAGGAATTACTCCTGTTCACCCCTTTCCCCTCGGATCGAACCTAATGACCTATTTCCCAGGTGCTGTATGTACCCCTGTGGGTTTATCGCTCCTCAGTATAATTATGGTTTTCTATCTTGTATCCTGTATAGACAAATCAACACTCATGATTGTTGAAAATAAATGGTATAAAATACCGACACAATGGAAACATAAACACATATGCAGTTTAATGCGATCCTTTATTGACGTTTCGCCCACACAGTGGGCTTTTTCAAGTCACAAACAGACGGCGGGCATTAAACATCTTCAACACACCCAGAGAAGACACTGCCGAGAAGAGATACATAGTCGTCCCCACCAACTCCATTGCCAAACATGTTTCCAACATCTTTTCCAATACATCATTCCAAGTATCTACCTCCACAACCACGACCATTAAGGACATCACTAGTAGTAGACAGGACAAGCTTCCATCCTCTGCAGGGGTATACATAATCCCTTATAATGACTGCAACAAATTATACGTGGGCGAAACATCAAGAGACCTCCAAACACGTATTTCAGAACACCAATACGCAAGCAGGACTGACGATACAAGGAATGCCTGTGTACAACATCGCAGTTCACACAACCACTTAATTAACTACAGAAACTCAAGACTTATCACCACAGAAGACAACACTCAATACCGAAGAGAATTATCGCTTATCTCTATAACCAACAATTTCAACCAGAACAATGGCTTCTATAACACAGCTGAACCACTTGCCAAGAAACTTTATCGCTATCCCACATAAGAACATAGAACACTGCAGAAGGTCTGCTCACAACTTGTCCAATACCCCTGCCAAGCTACCCAAGATTTTAGACTCTATAACCCCACCCGGTAGATCATCAGATGCAGCATTCTCCACCTGACCTCAACATTCTGAACATGACTATAAATACTCACGTTTGTGAGTTGAAAAAACCCACTGTGTGGGCGAAACGTTGTCAATAAAGGATCACATTAAACTGCATATGTGTTTATGTTTCCACTCATGATTGTTAACACAAATCAGCAGATATGATTGCTATCACAATTTATATATGATATTAATATCAGAATGATAGTGACAGCCATTGAAGATGCTGATCTGTAAGCTAATATACACCAGGTCTTCCAGTAAGCCACAGAATACAGTATGTTTCACGGGTATAAATTTCAGCTACTGATTTCTGTATGGTGAAACTCGAGAATTAAAACTAGAATGGGGTATGAAACAAATTCGATATACTTATTAGAGCAGGATTTAGTAGTGAAAATATCAGATCATAATTTCTGTTAATGTCAGATTATTTGGGTAAGGAAAGCTTCTTAATCACCAAGTCAGCATTACCTTGACTATATAAACCTTTAACCCTTAAACTGCCCAAACGTAGATCTACGTTTTTTCGACATTTGAAAGTATGTAAAAAAACATAGATCTTCTTTTGTTTTATACTTTTGAAAATGTGTAAAAAAACTTTGATCTACATTTTTTTGTTATATTTGAAAATATGTAAAAAATATAGATCCACTTTTGGAGCACTACGCATGTGAATGTAGATCTGGTTGGACAGTTTAAGGGTTAATATATACATATATAAAATATATAAGCCTATGTAGCCTAGATGAGTAGGAGTTGCATTTTACTTGATAAGCAATATAGAGGCTTAGGTCAGTGGTCAAGGAAGGTTATGTGAACCTGTCCAGAGTTGTGTGACTTTTTCAGGAAATCTTGAGTGGAGTGTTTGTTAACAATGGCTTGTGTAATATACATTCACTGGCATTGTCCTATTTGAAACTGTAAACATTCACGAGTATATCTGAAAGGTGTTCCGGGGGTCAACGCCCCCATGGCCTGAGCTGTGTCAGGTTTGAAAAAGGAGAGTTTAGGGTTGTAAAGGATTAGATACTAGTTCTCAGGGAGGAGACTGAGAAATTAAAATTTTGTTTGAATAAACAGGATGGCAATTTTAATAAGGAATATGAAGTACATGTACTTGACATTAATAAAAGGAAACACATTGGATATAACAAATGGGAGAGGGAAGAAATTGAGGAAGGTTAAGTATATTTAGGTACAGGTACACATAATTACAATTATCATATATAGTTTAACATATATGTAAAATTACCTAGGTTAACCCAAAAAGTTAGTGACTTATTTCCATTGGGTTGAAGCAGGATTGAAGAATGGGAATTATTCGCCGTTTTTCAGTATGAGTGAACAGGTATTCCATAGCTCAGTTGGTAGAGCACTTGGCTCACATACTAAGTGTCCGTGGATCACTCCCTGGTATCAGTGAAAACGTTAGGCATATTTCCTTACACCTACTGCCCCTTTTCATGTATGAATAAGTACACTGTAGGTACCTTGGTGTTAGTCAACTGTCATGGATTGCATCCCAGGGAGTGGTAGTATACCTTAGACAGGGCTGGGTTTTGAAATGAATTGAGGTAGGATAACAGCTCTTAGCCTGTAAAATTGGTCTGTGTAAAAAAGAATTTAACAAGGAGACAGGCTGAACAAATGCCACATCATACAAGAACATATATTTGTTGGGACTCTCAAATCAGATATATGGATAGAGCATTCTGTAACAGGGTAAAGCAGGCAGGTATGGGTGGAGCAGGCATGAGTGATGTAGTGTAGTTAACAGGATAGATAACATTTTGTCAGGTAATGAGAACAACCCTATTATCATCTTCAGTGCTGGAAATAATGATGTTTGGAAATGCTGGAATGAAAAATTACTGACCAAGTACAAGACAGCCATTGATCTGATTAGGACAAAGGAAGAGATCATGCTCATGTGTAGCATTTTGCCTAGAGGAATGGGCAGATGTAAATTGCTGTCTAGACAAGTATGGCATTTAACTATAATTCCATTCATTAACAACGAGACAATTTCTATGATAAACATATGTATGCAAAGGATGGGAGTGTATCTTTCTGGAGCAGGGGTGATGATGTTAGCCAATACAGTCAAAGGAGTCATTGCTAAGTTGTGTCAGACTCTTAAACTGACAGAAGATAGTGGTATAGTTGTGCATGGAAAATAAGGGGGTTGCAGTACTAGAGACGGAGGAAAAATTGCCAAGATATGTCAGGAAAATTTTCAAATAATAGGATAGCTTATAAAATGGTTATTGATAAAAATAAGTTAAGGCAATATAATTTTTCCTATTATCTTTTATACAGATAGCTAAGACTAATTGCATGTACAAGAAATGTGGATATTGCAGTAACCAAAGCTTGGTTATTGCAATATCAACAATAGGCAAATGAGGAATCTATGATAAATAATCTCAAGATGAGCAAAGAGCTTGGAGAAAGCTGTTATAAATCACTTAGTTTCAATTCACTAAAAACAAAGCTGCACTTAAGAGAGGAACATTATGACAATATTTTGGTCCGTTCTGGACCATTGTCAAGTTGTGTACAAACCTTTTTTGATGAAAATCACCCTCACACAGCTATTGCAAGCCGTGCTGGTGACTATTACACTGACAATGTTGTGAAACACCTCAGGAATGTTATAAAGGAACGGGAGGTACGGGCCTCTATGGACAGATATGTTGTGTGACAGAGGTCTAGTGACTCTCAAGCTGGTCCTAGTGGCATTAAAAGATTAAGGGAAGTAACCCCGGAAAAGGACTTGACACCTCAAGTCCTAATGGAAGGGGATTCCCCTTCTAAACACTAACACCATCCACACACACCCCTCCTCCCATCCCATCAATCATCATCAGATCTTCAATAAAGGTAAGTGTCATGTAATTGTACATGTCTTCTTCAGTTTGTGTGTATTAAAATTAATATTTCATGTGGTAAAAATTTTTTTTTTTCAATACTTTGGGGTGTCAGGAACAGATTAATTTGATTTCCATTATTTCTTATGGGGAAAATTAACTCGACTAACGATAATTTCGACTAGCGATGAGCTCTCAGGAACGGATTAATATCGTTGGTCGAGGGTCCACTGTATAACAGTTAGATGTACATGCCAAAAGCCCCTTTATATGCAGAGCATTTTGGGTAAACTTATGACTAACTTAAGATTAATAAGGCAATAACAGGGTAGTAACTGTACATATGGTTATTAGGTGAGTTATAATGAATACAAGAAAACTGAATATTCTATTAGTTCATGCTATATGGCTTTAATAAGTTTGGTAGAGAAGAATTAGTTTTGATTATTAACCTAAGGTGAACACAATGGAAGGATTTAACATTTGAGAGGATTACAGATATTGAGAGTAAGTATAGTATATTGATTATAATGTTTTAACTAAGGTCATGATATTGATCAAATGCACATATAGTTTTTACATATGATACGCTAGGATAGGTTAAGGAGATAAGGTGTTTTCTAACTGTAGTTTTAAAAATGCTGACTGAACCAGTGGTTCTGGAGATTTCTGGCAGAGTTTTCCAGATTTTGGATCCTTTTATGTACAGTGGAACCTCAGTGTTCATGATTAATCCATTTGAAAAAGTCTGATGAAAACCGAATTGTACAAAACCTGAAGCAATATTTCCCATAAGAAATAATATAAATCTAATTAATCCGTTCCAGACACCCAAAAACATTAACAAAAAAATACACTTTATAGGGAATAACTATAGTTTTACATACAGAAAACAATGAGAAATAAACACAGATGA